AACAGGGGGGATATTAATAGGTTATTAAAAATATCAACACAAGACAGAACACGAAACAATGGGTATAAATTGGATAAGTTTAGATTTAGGAAAGACTTGGGTAAATACTGGTTCAGTAACAGGGTTGTTGATTTGTGGAACCAATTGCCGCGTAACGTGGTGGAGGTGGTGTCCCTCAATTGTTTCAAGCGCGGGTTGGACAAGTATATGAGTGGGAATGGGTGGTTATAAATAGGAGCTGCCTCGTATGGGCCATAAGAACATAAGAACAAAGGTAACTGCAGAAGGCCTATTGGCCCATACGAGGCAGCTCCTATCTATAACCACCCAATCCCACTCATTTACTTGTCCAACCCGCACTTGAAACAATCAAGGGACCCCACATCCACCACGTTACGCGGCAATTGGTTCCACAAATTAACAACCCTGTTACTGAACCAGTATTTACCCAAGTCTTTTCTAAATCTAAACTTATCCAATTTATACCAATTGTTTCGTGTTCTGTCTTGTGTTGATATTTTTAATACCCTATTAATATCCCCCCTGTTATGTCCATTCATCCACTTGTAAACCTCTATCATGACACCCCTAACTCTTCGCCTTTCCAGTGAATGCAACTTAAGCTTTGTTAATCTTTCTTCATAAGAAAGATTTCTAATTTGGGGAATTAACTTAGTCATCCTACTTTGGACACGTCAAGTCCAACGCGGGAAAATATTTTTAGATTTAGTGTTAACTAACAGGGAAACACAAATTAATGACATCGTATAGGAGAGTGCTAGGGAACAGTGATCAAAAGTAATCAGATTTAGCATAGAATGGAATAGACCTGTAGGAGAAATTCTGTTGAAGTGCCAGATTTTCGAAAAGCTGATTTAATAGCCTATGAATTTTTTGGGTCAAATACATTGGAAAGTTTTGAGTATGTGTGTGGCCGGTCTTAGAGCGAGACATAACCCAGCGATAGGTGACGTAATAGGGGATTTCGATGTGGATTTAATATATAACTTATATAGCGATATTATAAACAAAACACAGGAACGTAGTAATACAATACAAATTGGATAGATCGAATACTAATGACCCAAAGTGGATAACCAATAATTTAAAGAACCATATAGGTAAAAGAGAGCTTGGTACAAAAGGATTAAGAATTGGGAAGTCAGTTTTAGAACAGGAAGTCATACAACTGGTTAGAAATGTAAAAAAAGAGATTAGAAGAGCAAAAAGAAACTATGAAGTTCGCCATAGCAGAGCAAGCAAAGTCAAATTCTAAAGGTTTTTTTCAGTTTAGATCGAACTAAGACGAGGGAAAGGATAGGTCCATCAAAATCTGAGACAGGTCAAATAACGAATAATGACAAGGAGATGAGTAGCATTGTTTAGCAAATATTTTATATCTGTATTTACTAAAGAAGAACTTAACAATATGCCTTCAGCCGAACAAGTCTATGTGGGTGGGGATGAGGACAGGTTGACTAGTTTAGCAGTTACCAGGGAGGGATTTAATTACACAATTAGAAAAACTCAAACCAAACCAAATCCCCAGGGCCGCATGAAGTGTTTGCCAGGGTGCTTAAAGAATGCAAAGAGAAGCTTTCCGTGCCAATTTCTACCATATTTAATAAATCAATAGAGTCAGGCAGAGTGCCAGATTCATGGAAGGTAGCTAATGTGGTACCAATTTTTAAGAAAGAAGATAGATCACTTGCGTCAAATTATCGGCCAATTAGCCTAACGTCTATTGTGTGAAAGTTAGTAGAATCAATAATTGCCAATACAATTCGTTTCCAGCTTGAAAAACATAAATTAATAAATGAGTCACAACATTTTTTTTCCAAATGGCCGTTCATGTTTAACAAATTTGTTAACATTTTATTCCAACATAGTTAACATAAGAACATATGAAGAACATAAGAACAAAGGTAACTGCAGAAGGCCTATTGGCCCATACGAGGCAGCTCCTATTCTATACCACCCAATCCCACTCATATACTGTCCAACCCGTGCTTGAAACAAATCGAGGGACCCCCCTCCTCCACAATGTTACGCGGGCATTGGTTCCACAATCAACACCTGTTACTGAACCATATTTACCCAAGTCTTTCCTAAATCTAAACTTATCCAACTTTATATCCATTGTTTCGTGTTCTGTCCTGTGTTGATACTTTTAAATACCCTATGAATATCCCCCCGGTTATTCCATTCATCCACTTGTAAACCTCTATCATGTCACCACTAACTCTTCTCGCTTTCCAGTGAATGCAACTTAAGCTTTGTTAATCTTTCTAAAACCTGAGGCATATAGTGGTAAGGATTATGATTTGTGTACCTTGAACTTTAGCAAAGTTTTGATACAGTGCCACATGAAAGACTAATTAAAAAATAGAGCTCATGTATTGGGGGTGCTATATTAAGTTGGATTAGGGCATGGCTATTCTAAAGGAAACAGAGAGTTAGTATAAATGGGGTTAATTCAGAATGGGATAATGTTGTTATTGGAGTCCCTCAGGGCTCTGTCCCGGGACCTCTGTGGTTTTTTATAATATATAAAATGATTTAGATTCAGGTTTGAGTAGCAACCTTTCCAAATGTGCCGAGAGATGATACGAAAATCGGTAGGGAAATTAATTCGGAGGAGGACTCACTATCCACTTCAAGTTGATCTAGATAGGGTTTTGAAATGGTCAAAGGATTGGCAAATGAAGTTTAATGCTGACAAATGTAAAGTTCTGAGGCTAGGTAATGATGATAGAGTTACAAGATACAAGCTAGATGGTGTTGAGATTGCGAAGTCGGATTGCGAAAGAGATCTGGGAGTTATGATTAGTAAGAATTTAAAACAAAAGGATCAATGCATGAATGTTCGTAATAAGGCGAATAGGACACTGGGATTTATTAATCGAAGCATTAGTAACAAGACACCTGGTGTGGTTCTTAAGCTATATCTTGCTCTGGTTAGACCCCATTTAGATTATGCAGTTTAGTTTTAGTCGCCGTATTATAGAACGGATATAAATTCACTTGAACGTGTCCAATGTAGGATGACTAAGTTAATTCCCCAAATTAGAAATCTCTCATATGAAGAAAGATTAACAAAGCTTAAGTTGCATTCACTGGAAAGGATTTGTTTGGTTTGAGTTTTACTATTTGTTTAAGAACATCCTCCCTGGTAACTGCTAAACTCGTCAACCTGTCCTCGTCCCCACCCACATAGACTTGTTCGGCTGAAGGCATACAAGTGAATGAATGGTCATAACAGGGGGGATATTAATAGGGTATTAAAAATATCAACAGAACACGAAACAATGGGTATAAATTGGATAAGTTTAGATTTAGGAAAGAAAATAAATACTGATATACTGGTAAATAAATATAAATAAATACTGGTTCAGTAACAGGGTTGTTGATTTGTGGAACCAATTGCCGCGTAACGTGGTGGAGGTGGGGTCCCTCGATTGTTTCAAGCGCGGGTTGGACAAGTATATGGGTGGGATTGGGTGGTTATAGATAGAGCTGCCTCGTATGGGCCAATAGGCCTTCTGCAGTTACCTTTGTTCTTATTACCGCGTAACGTGTTGGAGGTGGGGTCCCTCGATTGTTTCAAGCGTGGGTTGGACATGTTTATGAATGGGTTTGGGTCGTTATAGAAAGGAGCGGCTTCGTATTTGACAATAAGCCTTCTGCAGTTACCTTGTTCTTATGTTCTTAAGTAGTTCCTTCACTACACCTTCCATTATTGCTATAATAATATTACAACATTCGGAGCTCCAGCTAACACCCTCTCATTACGAATGACGTGAGTATTTGTGATCAAGTGAGATAAAGAAATTTGAGGATTTGCCAAAACAATTTCCAGTTGATTATGCTGACCTGAAAAGCTATTATCAAGCAGTTGCAGGTAAATTTGAACAAGTTAAACACCAAACAGCAACATATGTGGCTGAACTTGACTACATAAGTTTATCAGAAACAGAAATAGACACATTTATGGTTGATCTGGTGATTTACGAAGCTCAAACTCAGGCCACGCTACAGCCTTTCGTCATAATTATTGCTATGAACAAGGACTTGATTTCCTTCATTTAATTTACGCACTTTCTCAGGAAAAGATGAGGAAGATTGGGACGAAGGTTGGAACATATTCGTGAACCTTGTGTACTCAAAACCATCTTTATCTAAGAGTAGTAAATTCTTTTATCTACCAGGTCAATTATCAGGTGAAGCTAAATTAGAAGTATCCCATCTGACCAATCATTTAACCATGTCATTACTAAATCTAAATTTGTCCAATTTATATCCATTGTTTCGTGTTCTGTCTTGTGTTGATACTTTAATACCCTATTAATATCCCATCTGTTATGACCATTCATCGACTTATACATCTCTATCATGTCACCCGTAATTCTTCGAATTAATAGGGTATTAAAAGTATCAACACAAGACAGAACACAAAACAATTGGTATAAATAGGATACGTTGTTATTTAGAAAGATCTGGAGTAAATACTAGTTCTTTAACAGGGTTGTGGATTTGTGGAACCAATTACTGCGTAACATAATAGAAGAAGGATCCCGTGATTGTTTCAAGCGTAGGTTAGACATATATATGAATGAGTTTGGGGGGTATATAAATAGGAGCTGCCTCGAATGAGCCAATACACCTGCTGTTATCTGCATTTAGGTCTTATATAATTTATATCCATTCTTTCTTCAATACATCTGTTGATGTATTTAATACCTTAAAAATACCCATTAATAATACTACCTTGCTATAGGCATTCATCCAACTGTACTCTTTAATAATATCACCCCAAACTCCTCATCGTTCTAGTGAACGTAAATTAAGCTTTTTCAACCTCACTTCACATGTAAGGTTTCTAACTGATGTGTGACTTTGTCATTCTATGCTCAATACTTTGAATATATATATATATATGGGCATACTATTAAAGTTTTATATTATTTGAAGATAATAATTGAAACTACTATGAAAAGAGCATGCGGTAAACGAGACAACTTCCATATATATCTATTGGGTAAATAATATATAATTTATGAAATAAATGTCCAGGAAACATAATATATGTTGTGTCACACAAATCTTTAAAGCTTAGATAAGACTTGAATATGTTTTTGGGGTTCAAATTGGATCTATCTCTTAATGGTCAATAGACATTGTTATTGATTGATAGATGAAGATTAAGCCACTCAAGAGGTTGCACGAGCATGAATAGCCTGTAAACATTCTGCAGTTTTGCTTTGCAGTTTTTGCTTTTCTTTCTTTTTTCAGTTTATAGAACATAAAGTGAACCACATTTCCTTACAACTTGAAAACATTGGTCATCATTAAATGCACCTCATCCAGTTTGCCCAACATACCTGTGATTAAGCATAGTCAGGTACCACGTCACCTACAATCTTACGACTACCATAAATACGAGAACAAACTCACCTAGGATCACGTAGTTTTGAGCGAGAAATAAGAGAACAGTTGTAATTTCTTTTCTGATATATTTTTCAGCTTTTACCTCCGGAAGGATTTCTTCCCCACGTCAGAATTTGCCAACACTTCATTCTCTCTATTTAATATGAGTGATAAACTCCATGAGTGTCAAGAGTGTGGGAAAACATTTAGGCGTCTTGGAAATATGGAGAACCACAAAATGGTGCATACTGGTCTTAAACCTCACGTGTGTCCCGAATGTGGTGAAAGTTTCAGCCAACCTGGAACTCTGAATAGACACAGGATGGCACATTCTGGTGTTAAAACTCACGAATGTTTTGAGTGCGGAAAAACGTTCACCCGAATGGAATATTTAAATAAACACAAGATGATGCACACGGGTGAAAAGCCTCTCAGCTGTGATGTGTGTGGGAAGAGTTTCAATGACCGTAGTAATATGATTAAGCACATGTTAGTACACTCTGGTGAGAAACCCCACGAGTGTCCAGAGTGTGGGAAAAGATTCTCTCGATATGACCATTTGAAGAACCACAGGTTGGTGCATACTGGAGATAAACCTTACGAGTGCCCAGAGTGTGGGAAAAAATTCAGTACGCTTGGAACTATGAAGAAACACAGGATGGTGCACACAGGTCAAAAACCTCTTAGGTGTGATGTGTGTGGAAAATGTTTCAGCAGTCGTAGCAGTCTAATTAATCACATGTTACTGCATACTGGAGAATATCCTTTCAGGTGTGATGTGTGTGGGAAAAGTTTCAGGGATCGTAGCAACATAGGTAAACACTTGTTAGTGCATTCAGGTGAGAAACCTTACGAGTGTCCAGAGTGTTGCAAAAGATTCTTTCGAAATGAGCATTTGAAGAACCACAGAATGGTGCATACTGGAGAAAAACCCCACGAGTGTCCAGAGTGTGGGAAAAGATTCATTCAACTTGGAGCTATGAAAACACATAGGATTATGCATACAAGTTTGGTCAGTTTATGATAAGATTTATATAGTTCAATTGATGTAGATAACATTTTAGTGCACAATATGTTTACAATTATGTATTTTATATTTATATGTATTTTATATATTATTTTGGTAGTAATAAAAATATAATTTTATTCAAATATCATAGGTTCTTTTTCTTCCTACTCTAGGTGATATTGTTTCCATAAAAACATAATAATTAAGACCTATTTCTTGAACAAATCAACAAGGGCTGTGACGAGGATTTCAACCTACGTCCGAGAGCATCCCACACGCTGCCTTAATCGACTGAACTACGACATCGCTAATCTCCGAAAGTTCTTCACCGATTGCTTTGAAATTTTCACACAATGTTCCATTCGCATCCGAGCAGGTTTTATGTACATATTATATTGATGTCACGACTTTAAAACTTGTTTAAACAAAAAACTGTTTTTTCATGTGAGAGAAATCTTCGAAACCTCTTTATCGATTGTTTTGAAAATTTGACACAACGTTGCATTCGAATACGCGCATCTTTTTTATATCTACTATATACATGTTTCACCTGTGACAGGAAAAAAACATACTTTTGTTTTGAAAAACAGCGCCATCTTTTGGACGTAAGAGCAACACACGCTGTAATCTCTGAAAGTTCTTCACCAATTGCTTTGAAATTTTGACACAAAGTTGCATTCAAATAGGCCCGTCTTTTTATATACCTACTATCGATGTCACCCCTTGTAACAGGTAAAAACATGCTTTTTTGAAAAAAACATCATTACCATACCAATGGTATGGTAAACACACCATACCATTAAAAATGTGTATGGTAAACACATTGGTATGGTTTACCATACCAATGGTATGGTAAACCATACTGTGTTGTTTAAACACAGTATGGTTGCATTCAGTGAATCTGAATGTAAACAACACAGAAAGTAGCCATACATGTTAGGGAAATTTTGAAATGTAGTTTCAAAGAGGGAATCACAACTGAGCCACACACAGAAACTATTTAGTTAGAATTAAACGAAAAACTAGAAATCCTATAATAGGAGTTTTATAGAAGCCACCAAACTTAGATAGAATGGAAGCAAAACATCTAGGGGATGAAATATCTAGAGCAGCTAGGTCAAATAGTATTTGGGTTAACTTTAATTTTAATGGAATAAACTGGATTATCAAAATATGGGATAATGAAGCAGGAAATTTTCTAGAATTAATTGAAGATTGCTTTCACATTTACATTGATTGCAACACATTAAGAAGCCAATGCGAGAAAATAATATTTTAGCCTTAGTGTTAACTAACAGGGAAACACAATTAATTGATTAATTGACAGGGAAATAGGGAGTGAACTAGAGAACAGTGATTGCAAAGAAATCAGATTTAGCAAAGAATGGAATAGATTTGTAGGAAAAATTTATGTTAAAGTACCAGATTTTCGAAAAACTTATTTTAAGGCCTAAGAAATTTCTTGTTTGAAATAGATTAGAAAGTCCTTGCATGGGTGGGGGGGGGGGGGGGTGGCGGTTTTGTTGCGAGACGTGAACCCAACAATGGGTGATGTACAAAGGTATTTTGATGTTGACTCAAAATATAACATTTTTTGTTTATAACAAACTCAAAATATAACATTTTAAAATATTCTACACAAAACACAGGAACGTAGTATACAATAGAAATTGATAAATATAACCGAAAAGGTATGATTAAAAATTCCAACTGGGATTTTCTCAATAGTTTCTTTTCACTAAAAAAAAAAAAAATACAATTGACGATTTACTATAAAGTATAAAACCAAAAACACGGTCAACCTACTCATGAAAAACTCTTCAGACAGAAAGAAGAATGACTTAAAGGAAACCTACGTCGTCTATGCCACCAAATGCCCACTTGGGGACTGTAAGCTCCAAAGGCAAGACAACAACGTCTCTTTCTAGGCGATTAACAAGGCTCCATCAAGGAACATATAATCTCTTCTCAAAACCAGACCATCACCAGAGAAATCTTAACGAACAAACAACACAGAAATCATCGATATATACAGCGATAACAGGAGGCTCGGCATCTACGAGGCACTACACATCAAAAATCGTAGAATCGCTGTTTACCAACGTACCTGGAGATGAGACAATCGGGATGATAGCCGACAGAGTGTGGAAAAGAGCGGAGGTTTCCACACTACAGTCTACACTAAGGAAACGAACATAGGAATGTGCCTAAATGCCAACAGCGACTGCCCAGACAGGTACAAGAGGAGTGTTGTTAACGCATATGTCGACCGTGCTCTAAGCCACAGCTCAGAATGGAAGCAAGTCGACGAAGAACTCTGTAGGGTAAGGCAGGTCCTAGTCAACAACGGCTTCTCCAATGGTTTCGTCGAAGACATCATAAGAAGGAAAGTGAAACGCCATGCAACCTCTGAAGAGACACACAACACCTATATCCCCTATTAAACTATTTTACGGGAACTTCTTTTCCACAGCTCATAAAACGGAGGAAAGGGTCCTGAAAGATATGTGTTAATAGAAACGTTATCCCTACAGACAAAAATCAGAGGATACAACTGACGATTTACTATAAAACCAGAAAAACGGCCAGCCTACTCATGAGAAACTCTCCAGACACAAAGCAGAACGCTTTAAAAGAGACCAACGTCGTCTATGCCTTCAAATGCCCACTTGGGGACTGTAAGCTCCAAAAACCCAGTATATAGGCAAGACAACAACATCTCTTTCTAGGCGTTTAACGATGCATAACAACAGGGCTCCATTAAGGAACATATAATCTCTTCCCATAACCAAACCATCGCCAGAGAAATCCTAGTAAACAACACAGAAATCATCGATAGATACAGCGATAGCAGGCGGCTTGACGTTTGCGAGGCACTACACATCAAGAAGTCAACACCAGCAATCAACAGCCAATTATGCACAACTATATTCTACCCACCTCAAGACTCCGCTCCAATATAGAAGCATCAAGAAATATGGACCAATAGGCTTTCTACAATCACTTCCATTTCAATACCCATTGTTTCGTCTTCTGTCTTGTGTTGATGACTTCGAGTGGAAACGAAGGAGGAGACCAGTGTTGACGAGACCTCATCGTGGAGAGTAGTGAAAGACAGGGGTCTTAAGAAGACCTTGACAAGGCCGCCTACAGACGCCCTAAGGACGGCAAATTCATTTGCCGTGTTGGAGGACGAGTGCTGTAGTGCGCCTGCAGCGAGGAACAGCGGAGCGCAGGCTGCTCAGAAAGTTAGGGCAGTACCGAAGCGAATTTTGGTTGTGGGAGATTCCCAGGTGAGGTATTTAGACAGAACGTTTTGTGCCAGAGATAGGGGGAACAGATTAAGGGTTTGCTATCCGGGAGCTGGAATTGGTGATATTGTTGAAAACATGAATGATATTATGACGGGAAATGGGAACAAACCCATTATTTGTATTAGTGCAGGGGGTAATGATGTTGGACGAGTTAGGAGTGAGGAACTAATACAGAGATTTAGGACAGCCATTGAATTAGTTAGGAGCAAGGGAGGAATCCCGATCATATGTGGCATTCTTCCAAGAAAGGGAGTGGGAAATGAATGGATGTCGAGGGCACTTGGTGTCAATTGCCGGCTGGAAAGATATTGCAAATCAAATGCAATATCTTTCATAGACAACTGGGAACACTTCTATGGAAGAAATTAAATGTATGCTCGTGATGGGGTGCATCTATCGAGGGCTGGGGTTGTTGCTGTTGCGAACTCGTTGGAACCAGTGGTTAGAGGTGTTTGTTTGGGTTTAAACTGTTAGTAGATAGTGGTATGGGAATTGATTTGGAGGAAGGAGGTAATAAAAGTATGTGTTCGTGGGAGAAAAGAATTGGCAAAATGATCAGGGAAAGAAAAGGGCCTCAAAATAACAATTCACTTAGGATATATTACACTAATAGTAGAAGTCTAAGAAATAAAATTAATGAATTAAATGCTCTTGTCTGCACAGAAAAAATAGATATTATTGCACTTACCGAAACGTGGATGAATGTAGAAAATAGAGAACTATTAGCTGAATATCAAATAAATGGATTTAAACTATTTCACACAAATAGATATATTAGACGAGGAGGGGGAGTAGCCATATATGTTAGGGACAATTTGAAATGTAGTCTCAAAGAGGGAATCAAAACTGAGCCACACACAGAAACTATTTGGATAGAATTAAACGAAAAAGCAAATAATATTATAATAGGAGTTATATATAGGCCACCAAATTTAGACAGAATGGAAGCAAAGCATCTATGGAATGAAATATCTAGAGCATCTAGATCTAACAGTATTTATGTCATGGGTGACTTTAATTTTAGTGGAATAAACTGGGTGAACAAAACAGGGAATAGTGAAGCAGAAGATTTTCTAGAATTAATTGACGATTGCTTTCTTACGCAACACATTAAGGAACCAACGCGGGAAAATAATATTTTAGATTTAGTGTTAACTAACAGGGAAACACAAATTAATGACATCGAAATAGGGAGTGAGCTAGGGAACAGTGATCACAAAGTAATCAGATTTAGCATAGAATGGAATAGACCTGTAGGAGAAAATTCTGTTAAAGTGCCAGATTTTCGAAAAGCTGATTTTAATAGCCTAAGAAATTTTTTGGGTCAAATAGATTGGAAACTCTTGGGTATGGGGTGTGGGCCG